GGAAGGTATGTTTGCTTTTATTAGTTAGATCAACAATTACATATATTGATTCTATTTTTAACCTTTCAGTTATTTATATATAGGACATACAAAATCTATCACTGGGTTATCATGTGATCTTCTTAATAGAATTTTATTAAGCAGTTCTCTTGATGGGAGTGTTAAGGTATTATTTATTAAATTGGCTAATTAAAACCAGATCAAATTTTTATCAACTAAATGTTTATTTGCTGTAAATTTTTTTTCCAAAAAGATTTGGGATTTTAATACAGCCAAAATTTTAGATACTATTGATGTACAATCACCCATAACTCTACTTAGATTCCATAAGAAAAATGAATTGTTGGCAATTAGTAGTGATGATTTATGTATTCGAGTGATAGATATTGATACCCATAAGATAGTGAGAGAGTTCTGGGGTCATAGAAATCGAATTACTGATTTGGTAAAAAACTTTCCCAGCCTATTTTTAATATACAAACAAAAATTAATTATAATGGAATAATTTTAATAGACATTTAGCCCTGATGGAAGATGGATAGTATCAACATCCCTTGATGCTACAATACGTACTTGGGATTTACCTACAGGTCATTTGATTGACATATTTAGAGTGAATGATATTGCAACAAGTTTAACATTTTCTCCTTCAGGAGATTTTTTGGCAACATCACATGTAAACAATGTTGGAATATTTTTATGGTATTAAGATAAATCAATTTTATTGAATACTTGAAACAACAAAAAACCAATTAACATTTATTTAATTACTTAAATATCTATTGTACAGGGCAAACCGGACTATGTTTCAAAATGTTACTTTAAACAAAGTAAATGATGAAATGGAACAAGTTGATAATTATTTTACACCACTTCCAACTACTGCTGGAATTGATAGTGAAGAAGAAGGTAGTTATTATTTGTTAAATAAAATTGTGTAGATAATATGACTTTTTAAAAATCAAATTATTGTTATTGTTATTATTAAATCATATTACTTTTGTTATTGTTAAAAAAGATACAGATATAAATCATAATACTACATTAGCAACAAAAGAATCATTTGAGACACCAGAACAAATTACACAGAATATGATCACATTATCATCACTCCCAAAGTCAAAATGGCAAAATTTGTTGAACCTTGAAACAATAAAGGTGATTAAATAAAGAATAATTTTAGAATAATTCATGAGTAAAAGACCTCCAATTCAATGATAATAATAATAGTTTTTATTGTTATTAGAAACATAATAAACCCAAAGAACCACCTAAAAAACCAGAAAAGGCACCATTTTTCCTGCCAACATTACCAGGTGTGGAACCAAAATTTGTGATTACACCCAATTCTAATGAAGCATTATTCAAAGAAGCCAAAAGCAATGGTAAATTAATAAAATCAAGTGATATCAAAGTGGAAACTGAATTTGTACTAACATTAAAAAGATGTCATGAATTGAGAGATTGTAAGTTTTCATTTATATTTTTTAAATCTTTTAATTATCATTTATTTATTGTAATCTGTATATTGAAAACTTTTTTATTAGATACAAATTTTTTCAATCACATAAAAACCTTAAATCCGTCTGCAATTGATTTTGAACTTAGATCACTAAGTCTTGACAACAACTTTATTAATATAAGAATTTTTTTGATAGCTTTAGAAAATCATCTTAAATCCAAAAAAGATTTTGAACTAATTCAAGCTTATCTTAATCATTTTCTAAAAATATATGGTGATATTATAGTTGAAAATGATAATGGTGATGATGATGATGCTAGCAATGGTAGTAGAATGGAATTGAGTCTTGGCAACTGTTTAAAATTAATATTGAATGAACATGTAAAAGAATGGAGTAGGATAGAAGAATTTTTAGATTATTGTATTTGCGTAATTAGTTTTTTTAGAAAATAAAAATTTTTGATTAGTTAATCCATAAATAGAAATGATTTAATGCCAATCTGTGAATGAATCTTGTAATGATTGACAGTGCAAATAAAAATTGCTGCTATGCAAAAAGTTGCATTACACTTTTTGCCACAAGCTGATGTGCTTTTATTATTATTATTGTATATTAATAGCATAGCATTGTAGAATAGCACAAATCACATTATCTGTAATACTCTAAGAAGTATTTAAACCTTCAGAAATTTCTTGAGTTAAATAACAATCTTAGAATAAACAATTAATAATCATATAACTATTGATTAATAACCTTCTTGTAACTAATAATAAAATAAACATATTTTACCTATTATGAATTTTTGCAAGCTTTGTAGATCTTGACTAAACACTTATTATTTAATAAAGTAGTTATACATTTATCCAAGTAGTTTTGTATAAATCCACATCTGTTTTTTAAATCATCATAGGCAATCTAAAGATATTGATTGTCACTTTTTTTTTTTAACAATGCAGTACTGTTACACTGCTTATTAGAAAAATTTATATATTACTAGGTGTAACCTGTCAGCTTCGCTGACAGTTTACATCTAGAGCACACTATAAATAATCTTGTAAATTTTTTTTTTTATTCGAAATTATTTAATACTGTAAATTCATAGCATTAATAAGTTATAGTTGCGTTTATTATAAATATGTATAGATTTAAAAAAATAACAGTTTTGATTGACATAATTTTGTTAAATTTGATTTCATGACTACAAAATGTCACATTATCAAAGTTAGAGAATAATCAAAAATTAATACTAATGAAAAATATAATATTTTATTGTGGAATTTTTTATTGGATCACAATTAAAAATCATTTACATGCGGTAGTCTAAAAGTTACGCATCACAACATATTTATTTACGTGCTTGTGGTAGTCTAAACGTAACCCAACGATACAATAATAGATAGATTTCATGTGGTGGTCTAAAACGTTACGCATCACAACATATTTATTCGCGTGCTTGTGGTAGTCTAAACATAACCCAACGATACAATAACGGATAGATTGTGGCACACGTTTGCGTTATTGAACAATTCAAAAAAATTATTTATGCGTGGCAGCCTAAACGTTACGTTTATTTATGCGTGGGCGCCATTCTAAACGTTACGCTTATTTATGCGTGGGCGCCATTCTAAACGTTACGCTCACGTGAACCTAACGTTTTTAATATAATACATAATAGATATAATAAATATTTCGTGCACATGGAAATTTGGTGTAACGTGATACCCCGATTGAATTTTCAACACTGCCAAACGCGTCCAAAATTTTCTATATGTAGATTATAAAACTTTTTTTGTAAAATTTCAAACAAAAATAATTTAGTATATAAAACCTTTAATTTTTCAAAAACCACACTCATCCCATAGTAATCAATACTCGTCCATAGTAAAAGTTATTACTCCATTAGTGTAAGTTATTCATGCCAAATTATTACTAGTCTAAAGTTACTTACTACTTAGTAAAGTTTCATTTACTTAGTTAAAGCTTGCCTATTTCTCGGAATTACCTGGTGAATTCTAACATTACTTGGAATTTTTCTACTTTCTTATGTTTTAGATGTAAAAAGAATATAGTGATAGTAAAGTTACATAACAATGTAAGACTGTTATGGTAATACAAGAATTTAACCCATGCAAATTGTTGATTGACCAATCAAAATAGTGAATTTGATGACGTAAAAATAAACGTTAATATTAATATTAAATAAAAACATTTAATATGGGTTTGATTCATTTTTTCAACGATCATTTCACCAACAATTGTTTTGTTAACAAGTGGTTCGAATTTAAGAAGTTGGAAGCAACCCTTTGAAATACAGAAATAGTCTAATAAATTAAATTGTACTACTCGAAAATGAATTTAAAGGGTTAGTTTTCGACTTGGTTGAAGAATAACTCTCTTCCTAACCTTTCTCTTGACCATATCCCTCAATGTAATCAAAATATAATGAATGTTGACTAAATGATTATAAACGCGACCAATTTAAGATATATGATTAAGACAAAAAACATGAACGATGTATGAAAAAATCAAACAAATTTATTTAATAAAAACAAAATTTACAACTCAAAATTTTTTTTTGCATGTTCTAATAAAATTTCCATCATTACTGCATCATTTGTTGCTGATTCAACATTACCCAGATCATCATCAACTGTATTTTCGTTATTTTTGATGAATTCATTTTCGTTTAATCTTTTCGTCATACTTTCTTTTAGTGCGTTGATTTTTTTTTTTGATTTCGACTTGAAGATAGTCCAAGCATATCAAATATTTAGATTGGCACCTTTGTAGTGATTGTAATAACCATGCAAACGACGAGAATGAACGAAGAGAAATTACTGACTCTGCGCGTTTAAAGATTATGAAAAGTTGTCATGTAGCTTAGCTTTGGGGGGGTAAAGAATTCTCATTGTATCTTTGTTTGATTTTGGAGATATTCAGCTTTTAAACTAACAGCCAATTTCGTGAACTATCGTCATTAGGCTACCAAAGTTCTTTTCTTTCTCAAAATTGGTTCCTCATTTTCGCAATTTTTTTATTTTTTTAAATGTTAAATATTAAAAATAAACTACCGGAGCAATTGTAATTGCATGGAAAGAGCTGGACCCGAAGCCATCCGTGAGTATTACCTGTCCTTTGGTCGCGCTATCTTCTTTTTCTCAAATGGTTTCCGATTTCTATCATGTTCCCATTAGCTCGTCGTCACATTTAATTTTCTCAATTGAAGCCATTTTTATCATCAAGTGAAAAAGTGAAAATTTAACCAAAAAAATTTCCCGTGTAGCTAAATTATCTGACGGGTAGGTTTTAGTATACTGATAAAAATATCAAACTATTTTTCAAAATTATATTTCAATTAATAAATTAGTGGATGAAAGTTTTATTGTTTTCATATACAGTATGTACATGATTTTTTAAATCATTAAATAATAATTACAAGTTGAATTTTTATGCTAATAATAAAAATAATAAAAAATATGCAATATAACAATTAATTAAATAAGTTGCACTCTTTTGTAAAAATCGAATTTGCTACATTCAAACCAATGCAATATCAGCAGGAGTTGAATGCATAGAATTGAATTCTATTATGAGATTTGTTATCATACAAACAACATATATTGAAATTAAATAATATCCCCAAGGTCTTGTCATATGATAACCATTATAAGGCAAATAAATTAAAGCTGAACATAATCCAATTAATAGTCCAAATACTGAAACCAATAAATTTATATCTATGTTAATCTTAGTTGAATGTCCGGTTGTAATTGTTGTATAAGTTGTACTAATACCAATTCCAAATAAAATATCTGTAAAAATATAAATCAAAAAATGTTTATTTTTAAGTTTTATTTTTTTCATCCAAATAAAATAGAATATATAATAATAACTTACTTAACATAGGCCCACCAAAACATGCACTTATAGCCATCATTGGTGAACCCATTTTTGCAGTAGTAATATTAGCAACAAAATCTCCTAAACTATTTCCCTATTTTTAAAATCGCATACATAGATATGTGTATATATATATTAAAGAATGATAAGAATGATTTTAATAAAATAAATTGATTTCTTCTTTCCTTCATATTGAAACATACCATTGCAAAAATTGTTAGTCCAAGTATAGCATCAGATACTTCAATTATTAGACCTACAGCCTAATTAACAATAAAAAAAAGTAATTGTTGTATAACAAAAAAAAAACTCCATTTAAAATCACAATATAATTATTTATTAAGTTTTTTTTTAAAAAACAATACTTACTTGAAGTAGACCTACTACCTCATTTGCAATAAGAAATATCCAAACCATTGCAACACCAAATCCCATGAAACAAAGTAATGAATAAAATTTTGGTGGTTTATTCTTATCTGTAAATAAAAAACAAAAGATTGATGAAGCCAATCCAAAAATGAAAGCATATGATACAGTAGTAACAATTGAATCATCATCAGCTATTAATTAAAAATAAAACATTAATATATATTAGTATTTTTTTTTAAAAAAAAGGATATTCATTTTAAAGAATATATGCATTTACCAAATAAAACACTTGATATAAATATTGGTGCAAATAGAAATTGTATGGAAGTCAACCGTTTATTCCAACCATCTGTCCTTTCCTCCTCTTTCACATCTCTTATGCCTGTATTTGCATCATTATCAATAACAATAGAAGGACGTTCTAAATTATTTTCATTCTTGTTTTCATTTTCTTCTGAAGTCGGGTCATTTGTTTCCACAACAGGCAATGTAAGCGTAAGCAAAAGGATGGCAGGAATGGCCATTAATGATGTTAATTTTGCAAAAAAAGATTTCTGTGAAAATCCTGTAACTGAAGGAAATAAAGTTTCTTGCACCTTTGTCAACCAAGTTGATTCGTCATTGGTGACATGAGGAAATGAAGGTGATGCACTAGGTGAAGTACATGATGTTCCACCATTTAACCCATATCTTGATTCTAAAAACAAAGGAGATACTGGAGCAGTATCATTAACTGGTAGAGCTTTTGGTGACAATGAGGGTGGTGATGAACGTATTGATGATTCAGGCAAAAGAGCAGCTCTTTTATTTGACAGTGACGAAGTCACCATTAGATGCGGAACATTCAAATTGTTTATTGTTTCGTTGTCTCTGTTGCCGTCATTATCGTTGTTATTATTTAGACCAGAATCTTGAGAATTTGTAATGTTTAGATTGGAGGTTAAACTAGACGAGGAAGATCCATCAATTTTTGCCAATGTTGGAGCACTAATATTAATTTGGGGGGTGTTTAAATCATCATCTACAAGTGATTGATTAACAGGACCTGCAAAACTAGACCATGACTTTCTTCTTGGATTATCATTAATGGAACTATATGATGGCATTGTTGTACTACGCATTTGTCTATTTGGTCGACGATTATAATATTCATTATGGTGACGTGTAGGTAATCTAAATCTTCCTGCATTGACATCATCACGAAACTAATAACAAAAATGCACATATATATTATATATAAATTAATAAAACCAAAAAAAAAGCAGTAAAGAAAATATCAAAAGATAAAAAACATTAAACAATTGTTTTACCTCTATTGCACCAAGTAATGAAGGCCTCACGCCTCGATGTATTGATCTTGTACTTCTACCTGACTTATTTTGATGGAATTCAGTTGGAGTTAAGGATCTTTGTGATTCTTGGTCTATATAAGTTTCCCTACTACTAATATTATCAGTTCGATTATCAGATAATAAAGGTTCTGTTTCATTGGATGTGTCATAACCATATGCATCTTGATTTATATATTTATGTATGTGTGTATGTATGTATGTATGTACACTAGTTAGTTGGATCAATTGATACAATAATTATATTATTATTATTATTATTATTATTATTATTATTACTATTATTATTAAAATTATCTTACCAAAAACTTCATTTTCATTCTTTTCATTCTTTTCATACCAAGCTACAAATAACACCGCACCAACATAGGTAAAATAAAATAAGACCAAGACGATGCCTTCCCATAAATGAATTTCTCCGTCATATATTATCATGAGGGTAAATGAGATAGCACTAGTGAAAAAAATTAGATCACGTAGAAATGGCAATCTGGTGACATGAAATGGTGTTATTACCGCCATAGTTCCAGCCACCACAAAAGTTATGAAGCTTGCTGCTCCAAGAAGTTCACCAATAGCTAAAGAGCCGTATCCATGTGTCACAGCACTGAAAGTACTGAAAACATCTGGTGATCCATTTCCAAATGCCAAAAATGTTACGCCGGCCTTTTTATTATACCAAATTATTGTTATTAAAAAAAGATGATTTATCAATATATAGATTATACATAATAAACACATATATGTGTGTGTAACTTTTTAACATTTACCATACTTTCGGATAGACTCAATTTAGAAGCAATCGTGTATAGATTTGGACAAAAAAATTCAGAGGCAGCGATTCCAATGAATCCAAACAAAAATAGAAGCCATAGAAACTATTAATGTATTATTTTGTAAGTATATAAAATTAATTAAAACTGTATATTATATGTATAAATGTATAGTCACCAAAGTTGTCAGCGCAAAAAATTGCCAATTTTGTAAATCACAAAAGTAATACTTTAAATAATTGACCAAGGAAGAGGGATTAGCACAATATTCACGTACAAAAGTACATTTTTTTGGTTGTTTATAAATATCATTGCACTAAAATTAAAAAATATTAAAAAATTAACTTTAAATAATTGAAAAAAATTTTCATCTACCTATATATATGATGATATAAAATTTTTAAAAACACATACCTCAGAAAATAATTTGGAATGGCTATTTATTGGACTAAAATTCGTTTCATTTGAAAATATTGAATGCTTTTGTAAAGAAATTCCATTAATGTCACTCAAAGAATTATGGTTACTATCATTCAAATAATACTGTTTCCATGAAGATCGGATATAGTTGAAAACGATAAATAAATAAATTAACGAAAAAAAAGATTTACGACAAATTGAAATCATGTTAAAATAAATAAATTGTAAATCCACTAAATGAAAAATGTTGGAGCATGCTTAGTCATTTTTTATTAATAATACGATAATAATAATAATAAACAATAAACTCAATTGAGTAAATGTGGCAAAAAAAAGTTGTAAAAATACACAAGATATAGTTCCAGTTGATTTGAAATCCAAAATCTTATCATTGTGGCACGTGATAATTACATTATATGTATGAATGATGTAATCAATTAAAAAATGGCCTGCTTTATTTTATAAATTCTAAAAATGGTAATTTAAGTTAATAATTAAAATCTAGTAATTGCTGCGAAAAAGTTGAGTCTCTTACAAAAGACCAAATGAAAGGTAAATTTTATAAACTTTTATCATAAAAAATCATCTTCTACTTATGATGAAAAAATACGGATAGATAGTAGAAGTTATAATTAATTTAATCAAACAAATAAATTTTTATTTTAGTAATACTAGAACTACTGCCTTATGAAAATTGATTTTTATACAATATTACATTTTCAACCAATTATACAAATGAAGAATCTGCCAGTGAATTCCTTGGTTCATTTTCTGATATAATTAATGAAAGATTGTGGAAAGATTTATATGACAGACGAAGGTGCTGATGTTATAATAGTAAAGCATTTGGTTACTTGTATAAAAGTGATGGTATCATGGAGCCAAATTTAAGCTAACTTCTGGGTGATGCTCGGACAATTAGTAAATTTCTTTGGGAAATGTGGTAAGAATTATTCATCAATGGTTTTGCTTCTGATGGAGCAGCTGTAACAAAAAGGTGAAAGTTGATCATTGTGTTGCATGCAAAAATACAAGTAGAAAAATTGAATATGGGCATACTGTAACAAAACCAGACAAAGTGAACATGATGTTACCAAGAATTTCAGGGATCAAATTTAATCATCATTATTAACTGTATTTACAATTTTTTACTCTAAGCTAACAATCAATTTGTCATTATTATAACAAATAAAGACAATCTAAAGAATATTTAAAATGAAATGTTAAAAACAACTAAAAAATTAGATATATATCAATTAACAGATAATCTCAATATCCATAGCCTCAGATTACTAAATATTTAATGTTTAATCTACTTAATTACAAAAAATCTAAACTAAGCAAGAAAGATTAACTTTTTATAATAAAAACTTATTATTTAGACAACACAAATTTTCAGATGAAGTAAAAACAATTAAAATCAAAATAATATATATTGAGAAAGAAAAATCCTTTAAACACTTCCATACCACAATGGACACAACCTTTTTCTATCTCTTGTTTTACTGACCAACTTCTCAAATTCTTCAGTGCTTAATGTTTTTTTCTTCAATGTAGGTTTTATTTCCAATTGACTTGGTACACGAAGCTTTTCATAAAAATTATTAAACGATCTTGTAAAGATATCTTTTATTCCTAATAGCAATCCTATATCATCAACGAATGAATAAATATCTTTGAAATCTGCAGGAATCTTGATTTGTCCTAGATGTGACATTGTGTAAGTAGCCCTACCAGCTAAATCCATCACATAAAAATCCACAGTATACTCTAAAGACTAGTGCCGTAAATTATGATGATGGTAGTAATTGTATTTACGGCATATAAAAAGTGGTTGCAATTACCTTTGCGACCACTTTTGCAACCATACTTTTTCCTTTTTTGGATTACGGCACTAGTCTTTAGTATACTCAATGCATTGAAATCCTAATATTTCAATATCTGCACCTTTAGCTATGGATGAGACCATACAATCCTTCATAAAAGTACCTAACCGGATCAAATCATTTGAATTTTTGAAAACGTTATTTCTTTCAGAAGGTGGACTTACTTCTCCAACAAAAATCACTGAATCAACTTGTTGTTGATGTATTAAAGAAACTGTGAAATCAGGCTGCTTTGCTCTACTGGCTAAGTTTCTTATTTTGCTTTCATGTAATTCAGTATTAGGCCATTGTACTAAGGTCTTGTCTGGATCATGAAAAAGTCCTTTCATTATCCTGTCCAGATTATTTGTAATTAATGTGATTTCACTGGGATTTTTGAAGTAGGCAATGTTCTTAGAAGATCCAATATAATAAAACCAAGATTGTCTTTTATAATTTTTTCTTTCAAAAGTTGCTCGCATAGCCAATTGACGGCTACATCTCTGGAATCATTTTTACCCATTTCGATTGCTTTCCTAAAAATATAAACAGGTTTATCAGCCAATACTATTTTTGGAAGCATTGATGTTTGTTGTAGATGCAGTTCTTCTAATAACGTAATGCCAAATGATCTTATTATTGTTTTGGAATAAGAATTGGGAATAAGCAATAGGATGTATGATAATGATAATATTTCGTAAGTATTTGATTCAACAAGCAGTTGTTTCTCTTTTCCAATTTTTAATGAGACATCCCGATATGTTTCTAATAATGTTTTGATGTTGATTCCATTTATCTTGAGTTCGTATCTCATTTTATCTGAAATCAATTAATATATATAAATAACACTAATAAATAAATAATACTAAAATCATATAATAATAAACACACCAGATTTATTTTTATTAGAAGAGCTTTGTTGTGATGGTTGAGTTGGTGAAGGGCTCAGTGAGTTTGATCTGTTTGGTTCACGTATATGAGGAGATGAAGATCCCATTAAAGAAGCAGTATTGGAAGCAGTAGTAGGAGGTGGCAAATTTTGTTGTTGTTGTTGAGATTTTGGGGGATGTGGAGGTGGAGATATAGATCTGGCAGAGTCACGAGTATCAATGTTTTCAACATCTTTTAGTGGTATCCGACTGAATAAAAATACATAATAAAAGAAAGAATATATAGTTAATTAGAGTGACGACTAGTTGCAATCACCACCACCATTCTTATAATAAACTAGAGTGATGGCAAGTGGCAGGCGATAACCACCACCATTCTTTTGATAAACACTTACTCAGCTAATGCCTCTCCATGATTTTCTTGTTGTTGTCTTTTTTGCTTTTTTTGTTTCGTAATATGCATTTTAAAAATAAAAGAAAAAAGTTTATTATTTGATCGACAAAAACCAAAAACAAACATGTCTAATTATTTATGCTATTGGTTTTTTTTTTTGGAGGACAGACGCGAATTGATTTTTTTTTTTTTTTTTTTTTGGAAAAACAATTTATTTTTTGACAGAGTCCAAGATGACAAAACGTGAGTGTTGTTGTTTGGTTTGGTTTGGTTCTCCTAAAGAATATGTGTTGATAACTAACCAGAGGTACTTTTTTTTACTTGTAATGATATTTTTATTTTATATAAATATTTTAATTGGAATCAAACGTGGAGCAGATCTTGCTGGGTAATTACAAGATTTTCATTGATAATATTTTACTTTTCATAATCAATAATATTAATAATATTATTATAAATATTATAATCACAAGAAGATGTCAAGGCAGCACAATTGAAAAAGAAACAATTTGATATGCGATGTTTGATTATCGAAAATTTACAAGTGTTGAAGCATGCACACTACCTTGAACACTACAGTCATTCTCACATCTTCCTCGTGTACATAAGGTTAATCTGACCAAGTTTCGCTCAATGATACAATGATGCTACCGAATTCCAGGGGAGGGGCCCATGGTCCTGGAGTTTACCAAGACTGTATCGATCGTCAATGACACTTTCACTAATCTTCCCTCACAGCACCCAGACCAGAGAAGGCTGCTGCCATGTTAGACGAAAAGTCACCTGCAACGATCCTACCTCTAGGGTAAGTATGGCTCTGTGACCAAGCTGTCACAACTCTGGAGGAATATTAAGAGAATCTGCAGCTCGTTTCAAGCACGGGAGGTTATGGTGACCCTGAAGTTGTATTTGGGCTCTGATGTTAAGAGGAAACTTGTAAAATAGTATTTATTTTGTATAATCATTTTCATACATTCTCTGTTTCTTTGATACTGACCAATTTATAATTTTGGGTAGGGGACTGGTCGGATTTTTGCCCAATCAGTCCCCTGTCCTATAGATTAAAATTATCACATGATTATATATATCTTTGTCAGCAATATGGCCAATAAGAAAAAAGTCATAAAATGGTTCAGATTTTGTTTGGTATGTTTTGTATAAATTAATCATTTCCATAAATTTTCTGTTTCTCTAAATTTTTGTTTGACCAACTGAACTTGTTATCTAAATCAAATTTATTTAATGAGAGGTATATCATACAAGCACCAGCTATCAGTGATCAATTCCCATGTGGTAACAGCCAAGCCTGGTCTGAGAGGAAGATAGGGAAAGTATTGTCCAAAGCCTTCCAACATGTTTAAGACTGTTTCACCTGTGGAGAAAAAAAAATCTATGGTGCTGAATTGTGCTTAATTGCACCGTTTTGCATGTTTGTGATAGGAAATTTTAATTAAATCTGATACCTGTGATCAACATCAGATTTATTATTCATAAGGAACCATAATTGATAATCAGGAAAAATAATTTATTTTGTGAACACCAGAGATCTGGGTAGACACGCATTATTAAAAGTTTCATTTTTGCATGGCCTTGGTATCATTACTACTTGGGTGATGCAATTGTTTGTTATGTCAATGATGATATCAATGTATTTAATAAACATTGTGATTTAGTGTAGCATATGTAAAATGCATCATTCATGTTCAAGGGAAAAATTAAAAAAGTTTTTTTTTCTCTCTCTTTTTGATTCAAATAAAATATAGAAAAATAAATAATTATTTAAATAATTCTTTTATAAATTGTTATTGATGAAAATAAAGTATTAAAAATATTTATTAATTGTTTACCTTCTTAAATATTTTGTTCTTTGAATGATTTCTATCTTTCTCTCTCTCATCTCAATTTTCAAAAACCTATAAAGTGAACATAAAATTATATGTATAGGGATAAGTGTATATGAAAAATAATAATAATGGTTCTAATGAATATCAAAA